TTTTGGCATGGGAGTTCCCCTCAAAATCCATACCAGACTCAAACGGCTTGGCATGGATGGGAATGGGGACTCCATGTGTTTTTTTTTTTTGTTTTTTTTTTTTATTTATTATGGTGCCGGTTTTTAAATTTAATTTGCGCTTTTTTTTTTCTTCACTATAGCTCAGAGATTCAGTTGTCACTTTCCCACCAGCTAAAAGAGAAAGTTTCTTTTTAGTTTATTTGCCCAAGTTAAAAGAAACAATGTTTCCTTTTAGTTTCTTAAAAGAAAGAAAGCTTCCTTTAACTCCGGGGAAAGTGGCAACTCTGTGTGCTATAGTGAAGAAAAAAAAAGCCGGCAATTGCATATAAAAAAAAAAAAAAAAAAAAAAAAAAAAAAAAAAAAAAAATCAGCACCGACATACACTTTGTATTGCAAAAAAAAATCGTAAACCGAGGCATTATTTTCAATGGATTTTCATTCGTAAACCAAAAATTACGTTAACCAAGGCGTTTGTAAACCGAGGTACACATGTTGCAGAATACATTTTGGCATAAATTTATGACGAAATTTGATTTTTAAAATTTTTTTACTGGACATGTTTAACAGCAAAAAGTCCAAAATATTTTTTTTTTCTCAAAATTGTCGGTTGTTTATTTTTTATAGTGCAAAAAATAAAAAACGCACAGGCGATCATATACCGCCGAAAGAAAGCTCAATTCGTGGGAAAAAAGGATGTAAAATTTCATTTGGGTGCAGCATTGCATGACTGCACACTTGTCAGTTAAAGTAAAGTAGCGCCGTAATGCAGAAAATGGCCTGGTCAGGAAGGAGGGTAAATCCTCAGGAGGGTAAGCAGTTATTTAAGGGAGTGTTGAAATCTTTGAGTGGCTTTGTGCAATCACCTGAAGGCATATAGGCTCACTGCGTCACTTCTGCTTTCATACTTCCGGTCTGTGGAGAGCAGGTGGCTCTAGGAAGTGGTTTACATGCGCTGTAGTTTGTATATACAATCACTGTTATGCAGTAAGTGTATTTTAATTGCTTTAAACTGCTAATAAATGCAGAATTACACTGCTGCCTCCTGTTTATTTTTTCTCTTTACATATACAAACAGGAGGAAAGTTTATGAAAAAATGGTCCTGGGGAGAGAAATCTGGATAAAGCTGCTGGAGGGAAGATATACTCTTAAAAACGCTAAAGACCCATTTATAGAGGGTCATGGAGATCTGATGAGTGTGATGTTCACAAGGGGAGCACATATCAGTCACAATAAGTGAAGATATTGGATTTTCTACCTCTGGGCACAAGACACTTCTTAACCACCTCCCGCCCGCCATATAGTAAAATGACAGATGCAAGGCGGTTCTCTCGTTCTGGGAGGACGCCATATGACGTCCTCCCATTCTAACCGCGCATGCGTGGCTCCGGGAGCGCACAGTGCGGCGACTGGCGGTCGCCAGAAATTCTGGTTATCAGCGTGACAGTTCGTGAGGAGAAGAGAGCCGGTAATCGGCATTCCTCGGAGGGGACATCTACACTGATCATCAGATCAGTGTGCCCTGATGATCTGTGTAGCCCCAGCAGCGCCACCTGTCAAGTGTCCATCAGTGCCAGCTCTCAGTGCTCATCCATGCCACGTGCCAGTGCCCATCTGAGCTGCCTTTCAGTGTCACCCATCAGCGCCAGTCAATGCCACCTATCAGTGCTGCCAATCAGTGCTACCTATCAGTGGTTTTTGGTTTAAGAGAAAATAAAAAACCGAGAGGTGATTAAATACCACCAAAATAAAGCTCTGTCACAAAAAAATGATAAAAATTTCATATGGGTACAGCGTTGCATGACCGCGCAATTGTCATTCAAAGTGCAACAGTACTAAAGCTGGAAACTGGCCTGGGCAGGAAGGGGGTATAAGTGCCCTGTAGGCTAGTAGTTAAAGAGCACTTTATTAACACTGAATTTCAACACTGTTTGTTGCTGTCTTTTGCACAGTGATTGTTATAGTGGAAATATTGTGTGTTATTGATTTAAGCACTTTACTGATACATGCACTTTACTTAACGCTACTGAGGGAGGTGCGTTGTAGTACAGCTCCATGCATATGGCGTCACTGAAGGGAATTTACATTATTGTTTAGGGGAGCTGTTCTGTTGTAGTACTGCAAGTGCCACACCATAGTGTTTTCATTTACCTTGGTCATATCCCTTTCAGACCCATAGAGCGTGGAGTATTGAATTGATAGAGTGTGTGTATGTATATATATATATATATATATATATATATATATATATATATATATATATATATATATATATATATATATATATATATATATATATATATATATACATATACATATACATACACCGTATTTTCCGGAGTATAAGACGACTTTTCAACCCATGAAAATCTTCTGAAAAGTCGGGGGTCGTCTTATACGCCGGTATACGGCGAGCCGGTGTCAGGGCGGCACTTTTTCGAGGGGCGGCGCCGCCCCCCCTCCTCCTCCAACGGACACCAAGTACAGGGGTGGACAGAGGAGCTGCTGTACCTTACCTGGCTCCGGTCCCACGACGATCCGGTCCAGGAAGCGCGGCTGCACCTTCTTTCAGTTCGGCCGCTCGATGGTCGCGCTGCCGCTCGGCTCCACCTCCTCACCGGTGATTGGGCGCCAGCACTGGAAAGGCACACAGGCGACCAATCACCGGCGAGGAGGCGGAGCCGAGTGGCCCCGCGAAAATCAGGCGGCCGAACTGAAGGAAGGAGCAGCCGCTCCTCTCCCCCACAGACACTAACGATGGGGCACTATTCCTCCCCCACTGACACCAACGATGAGGCACTGTTCCTCCCCCACTGACACCAACAATGGGGCAATATTCCTCCTCCCCACTGACATTCCTCCCCCCCAACGATGGGGCACTATTCCTCCTCCCCCACTGACACCAACGATGAGGCACTGTTCCTCCCCCACTGACACCAACGATGGGGCAATATTCCTCCTCCCCACTGACACCAACGATGGGGCACTATTCTCCCCACTGATACCAACGATGGGGCACTATTCCTCCTCCCCACTGACACCAACAATGGGGCACTATTCTCCCCACTGATACCAACGATGGGGCACTATTCCTCCTCCCCACTGACACCAATGATGGGGCACTATTCTCCCCACTGATACCAATGATGGGGCGCTATTCCTTCCACTGATACCAATGATGGGGCGCTATTCCTCCCACTGACACCAATGATGGGGCGCAATTCCTCCCACTGACACCAATGATGGGGCGCAATTCCTGCCACTGACACCAATGATGGGGCGCTATTCCTCCCACTGACACCAATGATGGGGCGCTATTCCTCCCACTGACACCAATGATGGGGCGCTATTCCTCCCACTGACACCAATGATGGGGCGCTATTCCTCCCACTGACACCAATGATGGGGCGCTATTCCTCCCACTGACACCAATGATGGGGCGCTATTCCTCCCACTGACACCAACGATGGGGCGCTATTCCTCCCCCACTGACACCAACGATGAGGCACTGTTCCTCCCCCACTGACACCAACGATGGGGCAATATTCCTCCTCCCCACTGACACCAACGATGGGGCACTATTCCTCCTCCCCACTGACACCAACGATGGGGCACTATTCCTCCTCCCCACTGATACCAACGATGGGGCACTATTCCTCCTCCCCACTGACACCAACGATGGGGCACTATTCTCCCCACTGATACCAATGATGGGGCGCTATTCCTTCCACTGATACCAATGATGGGGCGCTATTCCTCCCACTGACACCAATGATGGGACGCAATTCCTGCCACTGACACCAATGATGGGGCGCTATTCCTCCCACTGACACCAATGATGGGGCGCTATTCCTCCCACTGACACCAATGATGGGGCGCTATTCCTCCCACTGACACCAATGATGGGGCGCTATTCCTCCCACTGACACCAATGATGGGGCGGTATTCCTCCCACTGACACCAATGATGGGGCGCTATTCCTCCCACTGACACCAATGATGGGGCGCTATTCCTCCCACTGACACCAATGATGGGGCGCTATTCCTCCCACTGACACCAATGATGGGGCGCTATTCCTCCCACTGACACCAATGATGGGGCACGATTCCTCCCACTGACACTAATGATGGGACACTATTCCTCCCACTGACACCAATGATGGGGCACGATTCTTCCCACAGTGGGAGGAATAGTGTCCCATCATTGGTATCAGTGGGAGGAATAGTGCCCCATCATTGGTGTCAGTGGGAGGAATAGCACCCCATCATTGTAATACCATACTGAAATAGCATACCATATTGAAATCAAATCTGATCTTTTTTCATTTTTATTTGGTGTGCGTTGGAAGAGGGGTAGTCTTATACGGCGAGTATAGCTCAAACCCTATATTTTAACAGGAAAAGTAAGGGGTCGTCTTATAAGCCCAGTCGTCTTATACGCCGGAAAATATGGTATAATATATATATATATATATATATATATATATATATATATATATAATATATAAATATAAAACCTGGCCCTGTTATCTGCATTGAAAACTAATGTGTGGCATGGAGCTATAAAAGTATCTGGACACCATAAGACCTTCGTGCCAGTGTTACATTGCATTGCAAATCAAAACCGATGCTTTCCGATCTTGGAAAATGGTACATATGTGGAATCTCTATGGTGTTAAGTTGCGATCAGAAGACCCGTAGCAAATGACAAGGCAAGATCCAGTGTAAGGTCCCTTTCACACTAGTGCGCTTTTGCCACGCTTTGCTAGGGAGACTATTCCCCATTAAATCCTATGCAACTGTTGCAGATGCACTGTGAAAAGTCCTGCATGCTGCATATTTGGTGCAGTTTTTCAAAAGCACACCAAAACCACACTTCCATTGCAAGTAATACAGCAAAAGCACATCAGTGTGAAAGGGCCCTAAGCTGCACAAAAGCACATCAGTGTAAAAGGGCCCTTATTTAAGCTAGATTGACTCACCTGTGTATACAATACCGTTAAGCTCCACAGACATACTAATACTGTTTGTGCCATTGGTAGTGAGGTTAACAGCAGACTCCTGTCTCCCCTCTGCTGAAATAAAAAAAGAGCACAGTGAGAATACAGTATTAAAAGACAAAAAGAAGAGAGGATTAATAGTCCAGAACAGATATTTTTGCATTGCATTCATGATGTTATTGATCATAGACTCCAATTCAAAAAAGTATTGTGTCTGCAATGTGATTACTCTAAACGGAGCAATAATGTAAATTCAATTCAAGGCAACCTGTAGTTTATTTCCACTATTGCAACCAAATTAAGAAAACAACTACTTTATTATTTGTAAAATGTTCTCATTCATATAGCTTTAAAAAATATTTAAAATCTCGTGCTCCTACCTCGTTCTCTTTGTGTATGAGGGAGATTGGAAGCGGTGTGTGTCCTAATTTACCATGTTTGTACTCTGCTGGAAGGTCTCATTATCCATTGTAAACTAGATTTGGACACTGTCCTAACAAAAGGGAAAACTTCTGAATGTTTTGAGAAGAAACTCAACCTTTCCTAAGCCTTTCTTGGGAAAAACTCACTCTGAGCTTGAGGAATGCTTGCAGTATGAGCCATGACACCTTCTCCTATAAAAAGGCATTTATAAGGAAAGACATTTTAAAAAAATATATTTTTATGCATGTTGTGTGATTATTAACAAACATAGTGGGTGTTTCTCAAATTTGACTGTAAAAGTAAAAATGGACATTGACGCCTCATCTGGAGCAAACCAAAAACGTCGCCTATGAAAATTATTTAATTATCATAGCTTGTCGCCATTCAATGAGCACGCACAATTTTAAAGCGTGACACGTTGGGTATCCATTTACTCTAACATCTTTTATATGTTATAAAAAAATTGGGTTAAAAATTGTGGGGTTTTTTTGCATTATACGTCATTTATTTTTTCCAAAATATATAATTAACATCACAGGCTTCAATAAGAACTGATGTCCTGAAATATAACTTCTCCTTCTGTAGAGACTCAGTGGCCTATATATGGAAAGTTACGAAGCAACTTAAAGTCTAGTTTAATACTTAAAAACACATAATGGAATACAAGCAGATAATATAAATGGTATATATACACCTTTTTTACTAAAGGACAGGGGAACTAAAACATGTATACATCATGAAGCTTCACTGAAGTCAAATCTATATCAAGAAAGCACGAAAACACACTCAATAGTGATGGTTTTAGTAAACTTTGTGGTTTTTCTGTAATTTTCTATAGAAAATGTGGTTTACACTAGATATTTAAGCAGGTATGCTCAAATGGCCGATCATACTAGATGACCTAATTTCTAACAGTATCCATTTAGCTATAGTTTCCATTTGTCTCATCAACAATTAATGTCAACGAGTTATGCATGGCCCTGCAATTTCTGCCAATATTTTAGATGTTGAATTACCTTGGCTGTTAATGCGGATATTCATGGGAAACTGTGTGGTCATGGCCAGCAGGTTCTGCTGGATAGCCCGTTGCACCAAACGCTGCTGTTCCTCAGATCCCAGTGCCAACTTTTTTTCTGGAGGCTCCCCAGACTCCAGCTTTTCACGAAGCTGTTCTAGGGCTGCTGCTTGGGCGGCCACCTGAGCTGCTACCATAGAGTGCCCAGTTAAGGTAACCGGGATCCTGGATGGCATTGTCAAGGACAAAGGAGATTCGTCCTCTTAAAAAGGAAGAAAAGAATATTTAGATCTATGCACAATGAAGCCCAATTTTAAATAAACCTTTCAAACATTGCACTTTCAGTCTCTTTGAAAGCTAAAAATGCTCACCAACTGACCAGATCTCTATATACACTCACCCTTCTTGATCTTCTGGATTGGGGTAAGTGAGCTTCCATTTGTTGCAGCGCCCCCTATTGTCATGGCAGGGACCTGCATCTTTGGGGAGGAAAGCATACTTGGAGCTCCACTTGGGGAGTATGTGAAAAGGGAGCCTCCAAAGCTTTGTCTGCGTCCTTCCCGACGATTACTGTCAATGGCTGCCTGCAGTTCATTTGGATTACTAAGGCCTCTCTTCTCACATTCATAGGGGTATAAATACTTCATGTATCTGCAGAGGAAGGAAAGATTGTGGATTTCTTTTGATCACAAGCTAAAATATACATTGCCAAAAACCCATACAAAAAAATGTGATGAAACAAAAAAGGGGCAGAGTTAAAGAATTATACTCTTCCATTGTAAAAGTAAAAAAAAAAAAAAAAAAAAAAAAAAAAAATTATAAAAAAACAGAAATAGAAGTAAAATTAGTTAGGAAAGCAAAAAAAGAGAAGGAACAAGATCATGCTTAGTTTTGAGACACACCTGTAGCCATGACCATAAAAGCAGGGGAGAATATAAAGGTGGAACCAAGCTGTAAATCGCAAGGATCCATTTTTGGGCCTCGTTCACCCAATACGTGCAGAAAAACTGATTGACATTGGAGACATCAGTTTCAAATCACTTTTTATGCAACGGGTTTTATACACGTTGCAGATTCCTCCGCAGAAAAAAATCTGCAAGCAATACCAGTGTTGTGGTGTGAACAGGGCACATGGAGAACAATTGATTTAATTGTGCCCTTGCAGAAAAACTGACGTCTCTGCACCATGGTGTGAACGAGCCCTTAGAAATCAAAGTTGCTTATGAATGATAGTTTTCATACTCACGTACTTTTTACTGTCACTGCACATCTCCAATTACATCAAATGTCAAAGTATCAGATTAACCATGCGTTAGAAGAACTTACTGTGTGCGCAGGGTAAAGGCCGCACTGGTGATTGAGGTTGGCAGGTTTAGGCCTTTGGTGATCTCTCGCCAGAGTTTCTTGTTGATAACTTCAACTAGCCCTCCCTTTTCAGTGACCAGCACATACAACATGTACAAATCTAAAACCTGCTTGGCCATTATGGGAATCCGGTTCACAGGGGTTCCTGGTGGAAGGATCAACCCAGAACAATGTCAGCACTTAATTAATGACATGTATGTGATACTAATTATTTTATACCTAATTGACTTAGATCCCAGCACACTGCATAAATCAATTTTAAAAAAAAATTTAGTTATTCCCAAGCTGCTTGCAGAAACAAGTCTGACAGGTTATTAAAAGTGGAACTTAGAAATAAGAACAAATAACATTTTTTTTCTCTGAGAAAGTAGAAACATTTTTAGAAGCTTAAACTGTCTGCAGACATCACAGAATGTATTGATGTGTATGCACATTCTGACAAAGTTGCTTATGAATGATATTTTTCATGCTTGTATCCTTTTTACGGTCACTGTTACGGAACATCTCCATTTACGTCAAAGTATCACTAACTGTCCTGTATAGGTAATAACACAGGGAGTGAGGTAGCACATGCAGTCAGTCCCATCACCAGCATATTTTAATATTTTCTCTGCCAAGGTATTTTAACTCAAACACTGATTTACAGCTTTCAGGGAATGCAACATAGATAGCAGTATACCACACTGCTATCTATGTAGCAGGTTCCAGTTTATTTTTTGTTTGTATACCATTAGGGAAGTTCCTCTTCATTTCCAGTCTCAGAGATACTCCCAATCTCCCAAACTGAGGGTAATGTCCATCTTAGTTGTCACTGAAACAGGTATTACCATTGGAATATGTTAGCTGTTTATTTGTTCTTCGGAAATCTCTAAGATTTTGGCATTCCCCTGACTCTTTCTTGGTAACAATGAGAGGCAATTTTTTGCCAATAGGGACAAAATAGAAATCAAAAGCCTAAGTGCATTAACCCCCCCCCCCCCCCCCCACCAACAAACACACACACACACAAAGCAGCCCAAAAGGACATAACTTACATTCCGTAGAATGTGTCCTTTATGCAGAGGTCTCTTCTGTTAGATGAAATTCTCTCCAGCGATGCCCCACTGCCAAACGCAATAATCTCCTGGTGTGGTGGGTGTTAAAAGAACTGTAGGGCATTTAAATTCACAGGCTCTCAAGAGGAGTGCCTGACTATGCCAGTCCATACTAACCAGCTTCCCCCTTCGAAGAGGCCGGTACTACAGCTTTTATGAATGAAAAACGATCTACAAATGGAGGACAGATGGATGATGGAAAGGTTAACCCCCTCCATTCATAGAAGTTGTAGTACTCTGTGAAATGTAGCTTTAGGATGAGAATACTTGGGCACCATTTTCAAGAGCATGTGACAACTCCCTCCATGTGTGATGGAGGAAAATTAAGACAGACCTAAACCCTAAATATAACACTATGTTTTCCTGTGGACAAACACACATGGAGGCTGCTATATACATACACACAAGTACATGGTACCCTGACAGCTGTATGAAACAGTTTCATTCCTCATGAAAAGCGATGAAATTAAAAGGAATACTCTTTTACATCTGCATGCCTTTGGTATGCCATAAAATAAAACAAATTTGAAGAGATACATTATTTCTTATTCTGCAAAGATATTCTAAAATGCCATGGACAGATTTGTTGGTAGCCCCTAGAAATGACTGGATTAAAGGTGATATTTCAGACTTTTTTCTGTAATGCCTACCTCACACACCATCAATCTTGTTATCAGTCAGACTATTTAAATGGGAGGGGGGAAAAAAAAAGGTAGTCATTGTTTCATATCACTATGTGCATTACAATGAACATGGGCCAGAGTTGTCTGAAGAGATCAGAAAGAAAACAGACCAGCATGTCAAAGGTCAAGGCTACAAGACCACTTCCAAGCAGCTTGTTCCTGTGACTACTGTAGAAAATATGATTAAGACGTTTAAGGTCCAAAGAAATGTAGGCATCTTCCCTGGACATGGCTGCAAGAGAGAAAGTGTGAATGGTAGAAAAAAAAAAAAAAAAAAAACACGGAAAACTTCCAAGATGATACCAGTAGGACCAGTTTTCACAAGAAGTGTGGGTCAAACTACCTGTTTGGCAAGCACTGACATGATGCAGCCACCTCCATTCGCTTCTTTTGAAATGGACACATTGCAACTACCTCCATTCAATTCTCCTGAAATGTGCTGTAAACATGCCTATGGTATTCACATCACATTTAAATTGTAATTAGAAAGCATACAAAGTGATAATTTCCCAATTTAGTATTTTAACAAAAAAAACAAACAAAAAAAAACAAGAAAAAAAACAAAAACACACAGGGTGACTGAGCAGATTTATGCAACCGAATTGCAAATGCACATTAACACTAAAAGGTGTGTTTATGTGCATTAAGGACACTTGAAAATTATGGGACCATAAGGCTTACACAGGCGTTGAATTTTAATTTGTTTTATTATTTATTCTGTTGAGTCAAATCAAAAACAAATGTCTGATTTTTATTAAATACAAAATAAAGCATGATGGATGCCAATAGGTTAAAGCGACACTAAAGCTTTTTTTTTCTTACGCAAACATGTCTATACTTACCTGCTCTGTGCAGCGATTTTGCACAGAGCAGCTCCAATCACCTTCTTTTTGGGTCCCCGATGGCGCTCCTGGCCCCTCCTCTTCAAGCAATGCTCCAAGGGAAGCTGATCGCCCTGGGGCACTGCTGCGTGCTTGTCCCAGAGCCACTGCTCACCCCCCCCCCCCTTCTCTCCTCATTGGCTGTGATTGCTGTCTTTGCCAATGAGGAGGAAGAGTCCCCAGACAGCAGAGGCTGCCGAAAACATTGCTGGATTGGAAGGGGCTGAGGTAAGGATTGTGGGGGCAGGGGCCGCTGCATAGAATTAAGGTAAAAAACATTGAGCCTTTAGAACCACTTTAAGTTAAAGTTATTAAAAAAACAAAACACACACTCACATAAAAACATCAAACAACCCTCCTTCCTAACTTGCATACTTGGGTATACATGACTTGGGTAAATTAGCAGCCTCCATGTTTTTTTCAGAACAGATTTCAATTGGTCACACAGCAGATGTCAATATAGAATACATTATCTTTCCTCCACAGGGTTTCGGCCTGCTTTAAAAATCAACTAAAAATGGCTGAATTAGCTTAAAGCCCTGTCTAAATTTGAATGGAGCCTGAAATGTTTTTAGTACTTTAAAATCACTTTACACTTTATACTACAGGCAAAGTGCTGGTAAACAAAGAACTTCTCTGATTTCCATTCTTTTGTCCAGTTAAACATACTCTTAAAAGTGATTTGATACATTTGTTCCATAAGTTCAAAAATACCTGTTGGCCCAGTGCACATTCCTGTGTTATCTAGAAAAGAAGTCCAACAAGCCAACCCCCATTTCACCCCCCTCATCCACAGGTCTAATCTTGGAACTACAAGGCAATTTTGGAGGAGATGAGGCTAGGGGCACAGCTTGAGTAGCTTAGCAAAGACAACCAGGCAGGGCTGACACCACTCAGTCCACAGCAAAAAGTGGACTTTAAAGGACTTTAAGGTCTTTAAAAGGTATACAACATACACACTTTTTTTTTGTCCTGATATATACTTCTCTTGATCTGTGTGATTAAACAATGTATCCTATCTTGCAAGATATTCAGTCATTTATATACATCAGTATAAATTACTAAGTATATAGTAAGAATAGGTAAAGTATTTAAATCACACAGGTATACATCTGACTCCCTATTCAAATTATACTGCCTGCAGGTGAGTAGGTAACCACAAGTCTTGTACAGTCCTTCATTGAGCTTACTAGATAAACAACTTCACTGACCAGCACATAATCTTTACATTAGCAATTCTCCTATCCCAGACATCTATTTCATCTGTGCCTGTCCTAAATTTAAGATTGCTAGAAATTAGTGGAAGCCATGGTGTGTCTGTGGCCACCTCCAACACTGCATCAAACACCTGGCACATGAACAAGTGGATGGACACACACCGATCGAAATTCTGCCAGATCTATTGAATGACGTGTACAACCAGCCTGTCTGTTTTTTCCCCAAGCAATCAGTGCCTCTGGCTACAGCTGGCAACACTGATCACTGTATTATGGGAGGAAGGGAAGGCTCCCTGCTGTCAGAATTCAATACCACAGCGGGAAGGATTCCCCCATCCACCTTGAATGTGTAAAAGGGAATCAGCTTCTTTTTTTTTTTTTTTTATTTGCTCAACCTGCTGGTTGAACGAAAAAAAAAAAAAAAAAAAATTAATCATGTATGGCCAAGCCTTTACTCCATGTTTTAGTGAACTTTAAAAGGATAAGTCTACCTTTTAACAAAAAAAAAAATAAAAGTACATTCATTTACTATTTCTTATTTTAGGAGCATGGAAAGCATTGCACCAAATCACTGGTGCTATGCAGGTCTCCTGCAGACTGTGAGTGCAAGCTGTCTGCCCGTACATTGTACGAGGAGAAAGTTTTACAATGTTAGGAAGACTCAATGAACTACCACAGTGCTCAACAGCGCCGTGGTAGATCATTGAGAACTAGAAGCTGATTAAGGCTATCGGGACTTGTAGCTCTCCATTCAAAGAAGAAGATCCCCACTAGCTGTCACAACATGGGATCGAGGAAAAAGGGAGGGGTGGTTGGGGATGGCCGGTCCTACAGTAGCATGTTACACCCTGAATATGGTTCAAAAATACAAATCTTCCTCTGCCTGGCTGAGAGAGAAATCTTCATTTCATCTGCATGCCTATCTGCCTCAGCTAATAAGGTGGAAGACTTGTATTTATTGAAAGAAAAAAAAAAAAAAAAAGAAAAAAAGTTTCCTATGAATGGCTGAACATTTTTTTGTCCTGACAAGATGTTGCATGTGTTTAGTGAAGGAAATATTTTGGACCCAAAAAAAATGAACTACTGCAAAAATTCACTAAAACATGTTAGGCTTTAAAGCTGGCCATACACTGACAGATTCATCCACTCAAGCAATACAGCACTGATGAACGAATCTTCCGCTGTGCTTATTACATTTTAACAACTGGCCCCGT